AGACTTAACAAGACCCGGGTCGGGTCAGCTTGGTTTACAAATTTTTATGTCTACTTATCTCTTATAATTTTTATTTTAGTTTGTTCTATGATGCATTAATGTATTAAAAAATTTGTTATACCTATGTTTGATCGTAAATTAAATTTTCTTTTGTTTGAAAGGTATTTGTACTCAGTTGCGTAGTATAATAAACTTTGTTATTTTTTATAAATTTATTTAAACGTGTGCATTTAATATTTTTAAGTTAACAATTTTCTTTTCTAAAGAACAATTAATCAAGGGGATAACAAAAAATTGATAACTCCTGTATAATATAAGTTAACTTCATTTTAATCTTAATGGTTCGTGTTATAAAAATTATTTTAAGGATTTAGTTGACACTTTCGTCAATTTAAAGTATAACCAAGTGTTATTATTTTGCGTCATTAACTAAAAACGTATTGTGTTAAACTTAGGAAGGTCGATGAAAATGGTTCTGCCTTACACTGTTATGACCTGTGCCATTTGTAAATTACTTAATAATGTTTAGTAGTAGTTGGTAAATTATTTTACCTCCTCATAATTTTTATGTTAATTTTACAGATGGATTAATTTTTCAAGTTGAAGGCAATTTTCTAAAAGGGTATTAGTTAAGGTTTTGCAAGATTAAATTGTGGAAAACAGCTACTATAAATTAATTATGTAACAGACCGACCAAAACCCGTATTACGGGTTGCCTTTTGCTAGTTGTCATTATTCTTTGATTGGGGCAGCGATAAGCTTAGGTTTAAGAGAGATTTTCCACAAATTTATCTCCGCATTGAATTTTACCCGTTAGCGTAGCAACTGAAAAAAGATTCTTAAGCAAATTCTAACACATTTAAGAACAACGATGGCGCAAATTTTTTTGTCTGCATAAGACCTAGCAGCTATTGAAGCAAAAAAAGCAGCTCTATCAAATTTAGAAGGCGTTATAGACTAATTTGCAACTATAAATACAAGAAAAAATTTTGATTAGATTTGCTATATACTGTAGTACTTACTATAGTAGTACTATAGCAAATAGAAATCTTGCTCCTGTTGTTATTAATTTTTATTAAAATTTTACTGATGAAAATTGTAAAACAAAAATATTGCTAAATGTATATTAATGACGAATATAGTAAATAGGAAACCTCATTTTTTTCTTGTTTTTTTCTTTTCTTTATAGCTTCAAATCAGTCTGTAAAACCTCTTATCCAAACAATAATATATGGTTGTTTTTTTTAAAGAGTGTCTATTCGTCTATATATCTATATATATCTATATGTATATCTATATATAAAAAAGCTAAATTATAAAGTAATTTCTTTCTAGTCAAACCTTTTTAAGTTTTTTTTGTATTTAAATTAAAGGTAACAATAATATATATTATTGTGACCTTTAATTTAGATACAAATATAAAAATGTTTAAATAAAAATAAATAATTTTAAAACATAAATTTTTATTTATATTACAGTATATGCATTAGTATATATACATGCTTATACAAATTACGCACATCGTAAAGAAAAATAGCACTATAAACGAATATCAAAAAAAGAAGATTAACATCTTTAAAATAAAAATATGAGCCTAGTGAGACTGGTGCGGCGTCTATTGCTCTCAGTACGTCCGTGATACAGTCAATGGTACAGAACATGTTGAAAGTTGTGTTATGTGATAACTGTGTTAAAAACTATAGACTTTGAGAATGAGTCGAAATTATGCAAGTGGATTTAGCAAACGAAATAAAAAGCAAAAGGTGAGAAAAAGATTGACCTTTTGCCAAAAATTATTTTATTTTTCACCCAACCACAACACGAAAATCAAGTTTTGCCCATTCAAAAATCTCTAACATGGGCAGTTAATGGATACAGCAGCAGCAATTAATAAAAATGGTGAGGACCATATTTTGTGCCAAACCCTTTGGCAGAACCTGCATCAGCTAAAACATCAAGGGAACTGACACCAACAAAAAATCCAGAGAGAGAGCTTCACAAGATTTCTTCAGATCCTGCATACTGGCCTTATGATTTGTCTTATCTCCGAAAATAATTAGTTTTATAAGGACCAATATTGGTAAAGAATTATGCTTTCACAAGGAGTTGCTGTTCCAATTCCAAAGAAAAAAAAAGATTTTGTTTACTGTTAATAAACAAAACTAACAGTGGCTTTCGTGATTGGAAAAACATTAATTCCATGTTAAGTGAGCATGAACGTTCAAAAGAGTACAACAATACCTGGATAAAATGGAAGGAGCTGGAAAGTTGTTTGAATGCAAACATTACAATTGATCAACAGAATCAGAGTATCTTTCAGCAAGAACAGCAATACTGGCGATCAGTAATTAAGAGAATTTTTGGAATTATTTAATATTTGGCAAAAAAACAATTTGCCAAATATTAAATAATTCCGTGGCAGCGAGGAAAACCTTTTTTCCCTTGGGAATGTAAACTTTCTTGGTCAATTGGAGTTATTGGCAAAGTTTGATAGTGTCATGCAGGAGCATGTTTGTCAAGTAACCAACAATCAGTTGCCAAATCATTATTTAACGCAAAGTGAGCTAATCATACTTATGTCAAAAAAAGTGCAAACTGAAAATGTTCATTGTCTGAAGGTGGAAAAATACTTTGCCCTCATATTGGATTGCACTACAGAGTTGGCCTATAAAGAGAAAAAAACTGTAATAGTACTTTTTGTCGAAACTTTAGAAAGTTATGCAACAATTAAAGAAAAATTAACGTTGCTAATCCAATTATGGTTCCAATTTGACAAAACTCGTATGTGCTAAATTTGTCTGCTTAATTCAGTAAATTGAAATATTTTAGGGTAACACTTAACTTTTTGGCAACAAAACTTATTGGATTTCTATTTAATTAGTTCTATTTTTTAAATCATACTTTTATTTGATTGTATGGACTGTCTTCTTCCTTGTATATACCATTTTTACATTGAAGTGTGTTCAATTTTTTATTATATTTTAAAATAAAATGCTAGGGTATCATTATTCGAAAAAATAACTGATGGGTTTTTTGTCAAGAGGATCAAAAAATCAATTTAGATTAATAAAATTTAAAAAAATTGCAGAGTTAAATAGTGAACAAATGCATGAATTTAAAAAAAAAAAATACTAGAAACTAGTTTTATATTATTTAAATTAAGATTTATATTCTAAAATCACATTTATGGTAATAATAGAAGTTGGTATACTTAGCGGATATTTGTCATTATACTTAGCGGATATTTGTCATTATACTTAGCGGATATTTGTCATTATACTTAGAGGATATTTGTCATTATACTTAGCGGATATTTGTCATTATACTTAGCGGATATTTGTCATTATACTTAGCGGATATTTGTCATTATACTTAGCGGATATTTGTAATAAAGTAAATAGCAGTTACCATCTAATTAAAATGATTTAATTCTTCGTCTAATTTAAGTATTATCCTAAAAATTGTTAAACTTCTATGAAATAAAAATATTATTTTTGAAAAATTATATATTTGAAATTGCGTGTTTTGTAGCTACACCAAACAATTACTTTGTAATTTAGTGTCAAGAAATGTGATTTTATTTAGTTTAATTAAATTTTTTTATAAAACTGAAAAAAAAAACTTTTTTTGGCAAAGGTGTAAAAACACTATTTTTTGCATTTAAAAATAGTTTCAAGGCTCATTACAGCCCAAGTTAAAACAAATATATTTTTTATGTTGGTTTAATTAACTACAAAAAACAAAAAAACAATGAACATTAAAATATTGAAAATTTGAATCTTAAAGAATGATTTTTTATAAAAACATCAATGTTTTCCTACAACTTAAGTTTATATTAAACTCCATATGAGCTGTTCAAATAAATCTTTAAAAACCACCAGTACATGAGATATTCTTTAATCGTTTGTGGAGAAAGTTTATTTCACTATTATATTCTGTAATGTTCAGTTGTTCAAAAATAACAAAAAAATAATTTTCTTTTTGTTTTTTTTGTTAGAGGAAACAACATGTCGCTCTATATCGAGTATCTGTTTTTTCCAAAACTTGTAAAAAACACAGCTCAGAAATATCTTCAAGAAAGATAAAAAACTTCTTACTAAAACAGCAGGATAGCGTGGTGATTAGAAAATTTTATTTCATTTAACTCGGGTGTTCCGTTTTTTAAAGAATATTCAGTATTTTCTTAAGTGAAGTTTCAGAAAATAACTAAATAATGCAAGATAGATTAACCAAACAATACTAAGTCTTTAGGCGTTTATTCTTTTAGCAGAATGAAAAGACTCACTACCTAACATTTTTAGATTAATCTCTTTAAAAAATGGGCGAAAAATTGGTTTACCAAATGCACAATGCAGATGACTATCGCTATGTAGCAGTTTTAAGCTTAGTGAAAAAGATTTGGAACAATTATAAGGATAAAAATAAGGAACAATTGTACTGGAAATCCAAAAAAACATATCAGCGGGCATAAAGATCAATCAAGTGTCTTTAAGATCTTTTTGACATTTGTAAAAATAAAAAGAGCCTTCAGCATAGCTTTGTTTTGTCTAGCGAAGCATAAGATTTGTATATAAAGATTTAATTAACCAGAAGTCTAAACAACGTTTTTTTGATATATTAAGTAGCTTTTCTTAATATATCAAAAAAACGTTTTCGTACTTTTAGAATTGTTAAGTTTGTAATTTTATTTTTATTTGTAATTTAGAGTGTTACGATGAAACAAAAAATATAATAATAACTAAATATAATAATAACTTTATAAATAATAATAACTTTCCAATTAGAATTAGAAAAATTTAAATTATATATTAGAAAAAATTAGAAATAATGTATATATAAAAATTCAACAAATTTTTTAAAAAAAGGAGAAAATACATACAAAGGTTTTTCTGAAAATACTTTATTTAATTTCAAGCTAAATTATTTCCTTTAATATAAATAAAATTAAAATTATCACATAACATTTAAAAGTTAATAGAAATAACAAATGCAAATGACATAAATAATTTTTTTATTGGTATTCTGTTGTTATAATAAAAGGTTCTTTGTAAACATAAATCGAAGAATAAATTAAAACATAAATCGAAAAATAAATTGAGTCGTGAGATAATTGTATGAGATAAGTTGAGTTATTCACGATATGTGATTGATTGGATCAAGCGACATTTGTTCGTTTTTATTTCGCTTAGGTTTATTTCTTTTGGACGTTAACTTACGTATAATAGAGTGTGTGAAATAAACAGCAGCTTTACCTATGTGATTCATAAGAATTAATTTTGACACAAAAAATGAACAAGGCACTGCAAGAACAGTTACGTACAATACGTAAGGGGCTGCCTTTGACGATCCTAAAGTGCCAAACGTACAAATCAAAGACCAAAATGGTATATTCAACGTTTTAACTAAAGTATAAAAGTGCTGCTGTTTATTGGTTTTGAAATGCATCCAGGAAGCCCAGTCATATAGAAATTTAGTTTTGGATAATAAACCGTATAATAACATAAAAAAATTAGCTAAACTTGAAAAAAATACAATTAAAGCAGAGAACCTAATGGCTATTGTGGAGTTATAATTTCCTTTTGTTGCGTATTTTAAAAGCATGGTTCCTGCAAGAGGACACAGACAACCAAAAACAAGAAAAAATTTTTGAAAATACAGCGCAATTGAATTCACAGTTTTGAACAAATGAAGGACTGTGTGGTTGATGTACCACAGGGCTGAAACCAAACAAAACGTGCCAAGAAACGTTAAAAATTCCGGCTGCATGTGACTCAAAATGTTGTTAAGACCTTCTTTTTTAACTTCATCTTTTTTCGGAAATTCTTCGACAGTTATATCAAGAATAACAATACACGCAACAATAGCAACAGCAGCGTCGGACATTATTTCAACTCGTTCTTTTGGTACGCTTCCTTTTGAAAAATGCAACAAAAAAGTATCCTTTGTTGTTTTTGCAAATTTATTCATTCTTCGACGCATATACCAGTAAAACTTGCGAATAGTTGGCATTAAGGTTAGTAAACCAATACATGCCCATGATGCTCCATAATGAACTATGCAAAGTGCCCCACCGATGCTTACTATGAAGAAACTAATTAATGGTCTGAAAACCATTATTAGAGTTAGTTCTTGAAGATCAGATTGTGACCACACTTTTAAATCAATATGAAGCAGTTTTGGTGAATGAAGTGAATACAATACTATTCCAATGTCAATAATTTGAAGAATGCCTAAAACAACGCATGTTATGATAATCGAAGATTTTTGATCAGGATAATGTCCTTGTAATGCTAACGAAAATGGAAGAAAAGAAGTCAATAACATTTCAAAAATAACCAAAGTTAAGATAAAGTCATCCACTCTTTTGATCACAAGTGATCTGATGTTCATATTTTCCCAAATTGAAAGAACGATTAAAAACCCAATAAAAAACATAATGAATTCTGTGTAGTTATGACAAAAATAGACTGATAATATATTGTTTTCATAGTATTCATTTAGATTAAATGTTGAGTTCTTTGTTGAATTCCTACTTAAATTGCATGTTGAGTTATTTCTTTTTAACTCTTCGATTACTTTTAAGTTTCTGAAGGGAAGAACTAAAAACGTTGCGCAAGTTGCCATGACAGCGTCGGAATATGCAAGCATTCGATTTGAAGATACAATGTCACCACGATGATGATTTTCTGGTAACATTTCATCCAGCTGTTCATCATAGTGTTCTTCTAGATGCTTGTGCTTTGTCCTAGTTCTAATTATCTCCTTTTGATTAGGAAGGTCACCTTTGGACATTTTTTTTATAGAAGAAAATATTTTTAGCTCTGTACTAAAATAGATAAGAATATAGAATTAAAAGATAGTATAATTATATATATATATATATATATATATATATATATATATATATATATATATATATATATATATATATATATATATATATATATATATATACACACATAGAGCGAGTACTTTTTATGTAAGTCCTTCTTTAAATAAGGTGCGACTACATTTTATGTATGTTCGCTTCCTTAAATATGGAGCAAGTTCATTTAACGTAAGTTTAATTAATTTTCAGAATGTTTTTCAATAAAATTTCAAATCTGTAAATAAATGTTCCTTGAGTCTAAGTTTATATTTTAAGTAACCAATATATTATAATTTTGAATGGGCTGTTTTTACTTTTAGTTTTCAGGCTTTAGTCAGCGCATATTGTAATAAAAAAATTTTAAATACAAGAAACGAAATGCACTCTTCTAGCGATGCTACTGTTTTAGAGTTACCCCTGAAGTAACAATACCTGTAGCTTTTAATATTTTTGTTTATATCAACAAAAAAAACTATTTGTAACAACGCAAAACATCCCAGCAAAATGTAGCATAAATAACAAATTTTATTATCTTTTAATCGGAATAACCTTTAAATGGCTTTTGCCAATGGTATATCACGTTTTATACCTAAAACCTCGATAATTGAGGTCAAAATCTTTTTTTTGAAATTCTTTAAGAAATTTTTTTGAATTATTTCATGTAAGAGCCTATACAATAAAAGATCATATGACTAAGGTATTTAACTGTAAAAGATTTTATATATATATATATATATAAATATATATATACATATATATATATATATATATATATATATATATATACATATATATATATATATATATATATATATATATATATATATATATATATATATATATATATATATATATATATATATATATATATATATATACATAGAGTTGCCATATTGTAATCACTGAAAAAGAGGAGATTTTACATAGTGGCAGGTTTTAGGTGGTGGTAGAGTAGGGGACATGGGTAGTAGCCTTCCCCCCCCCCCCCCTTCTTAGGACTTCTTTTCAAAAATTCTTTTGTAAATTGACTATTATACAAAACTGGACTATACTGATAAATGAAATTGACTAATATGCGTAATTATATGTATATGAAGTTGATTAATACACTAAAGAACAAAAAATTAAAAAAAAACTTAAAAATGAAATATGCAGACTTTTTTGGCCAAATGTAAATAAGTTATCAGCGGTCCACCGGAGTTTCCCCCGGCATCCCGGTTACTTGTCCATCCCTGAATGAATGAGAATTCTTATTATTTAGCGAGGCATTACCAGAGTGGACCCCTTTTATGAGAGTTAAATAAATTATAAACTCTTTTTTTAAATGTCATTTAAAAAAGGGGTTATTATTTATTAATTCTCATAAAAGGGGACACAAATTGCTGGTTTTGCAATTAAAATTAACCTAATTTTAATTGCAAAATGTTCACATTCAGTTTTATTGCTGTCTTACAATTATTGATTCTTGATGAATTAAGTCTTATTAGTTATTCTATATTAAAATATACTATACTTTATAAATGCAAGCCAATAATTATTCCTCCATTATTTAACTTGTCTCTATTGTCATATTGTAACCATTGTTCACTTGTATCTAACTAACCACTTCAATCAGTTATCAACTTCACAGTTATCGACCAATCATTTGTTGGAACAGAGCAAAAACTATGGACGAGGGAAGATGAATCATACCAACTATACTTTTTTGTTGAACTTATCTTTTTCAATAAGTCTTTGTTTGATAATAACAATTTATTAAACATATAAATTCGAAAATTGGTCATGGCTCAATGATTTATTAACATTAAAAAGGAGCTTTTTTGTTTACAATTAAGTCTTCAAATTGATCCCAAATAGGAAAACTGTCAAGTTTCATCTAACTTAAAGCTTCTAACTCTTGTTATTGAAACTAATAACAGGTCAAAGGTTACATAACTTAAATAATCTTGGCTTAATTATGATTGTAAGATGAATTAGATAAATAAAATTAATATAAGGTAATTTGTTTATCTTTGGGAGAAACATAAATAAATGATCCAGCTGGGTAAATTTTGAATTTGGCTTCACACTCATTCCTCTCTTTCTTAAACTAGAAAACATTTTTTTTGGAAAAATTATTGGAAGTGCAGCGATTCTTTTACTTTAAAATTTTAAATTAAAGGAACTATCTCTTGTGTAACAGCAACCAAAACACTTTATTACTTTAACGGTCGCGACTTTCGTTTTCGCAAGTTTAGATACGCGCGCATTTTTTTCAATATTGTGTAATCAAGAGAAGTGAACACGTGCTGTGTGAGCATTTTTAAAATAAATTATTAGTGACATTTTACATTTAATAGTTTTTACATTTTTAGTTCTATAAAATTTAATTATTAAATATCGAATTTTTATAAAAATTAAAGAAAAACTTGCAAAAAGAGGAGAATTCAAGTATTGTCTGAAATCCCCCGGAGCCTTACTTTTTGCCTTAAAATCCGGAGATATGGCAACCCTATGTATATATATATATATATATATATATATATATATATATATATATATATATATATATATATATATATATATATATATATATATATATATATATATATATAAATATATATATATATATATATATATATACATATATATATATATATATATATATATATATATATATATATATATATATATATATATATATATATATATATATATATATATATAAGACTGTAAGGACTTCTTGGGCCACCTAAATCAACATAATATATATATATATATATATATATATATATATATATATATATATATATATATATATATATATATATATATATATATATATATATATATATTATGTTGGTATATATCTTATACTACTGAGTTAGGTGAGCATGATGATGTCATACTCACCTAATGTCAAATAGCCTGCTGCCGGGGGCTTCAGTACATACATCGACTGACAAATAGCCTGACTCGCCGTGGAGTGCTGCTACATCGACTGAGGGTTTGGTATGGGTCAGCAACATTTTCATTCGTTATTCTTTGTTTTCCCTCATCGTTTTCTAAAAATGCTCACTTAATTTAGGCTAGCAAAAAAAGTGAGCAATTGCGCATATAAATATGCTATAGTAGATATACCAACATAAAATATTAATATATATATATATATATGTATATATATATATATATATATATATATATATATATATATATATATATATATATATATATATATATATATATATATATATATATATATATATATATATATATATATATATATATATATATATATATAAGGTAGATTAGGGTAATATGAGCACCTTAAGCAAAAATTGGAATATTTTCATAAATAAATATGCTGGATCCAAAATTTTTGCAAATAAACAATTTTTAGGGATCCCTATTTATAATCTGTTTAGATATTTGGGCACTTGACTTTTTTTCTTAAAAACACAGAGGTTTTAAAAAAGTAGCAAAAGTGCTCGTATTACCCTGACCCCTTGGTAATATGAGCACTTTAAATTAGTTCAAAAAATTAGCATTAAGTAAAAAAAGACCAACCTGCTTAATAGAACTAATTGTTGGAATATAAGGATTAATTTTTGTTAATCACGATTAACAAAACATATCATTAAAAGATCAAATTTTAAGCTACATTTTGTTGAAACAATACTACTATGTTTTCCACAAAAAAAAAAAAAAATTATTAGATTGTTTTTTCAATTTTGTTAACTCAAAACTTTGAACAATAATAATTAAAACTTTTTAGATTTAAGTTACAGAAAAATATTTAGTATTGTTAATATATTAAAATTTTTTACTATGTTTTGTTTTTATTCAAGAAGCAATTAAAAACCACAGCATTTTTAGGACTTTAAACTAAGCAATTTCAATGAAAAGCACTGGGTAATTTGTGCTCATATTACACAAAAATGGTGTTTTTTAATAAAGTCAAAAATGAATGTTTCTATGCATTATTTTTCAAACAAAAATGAATTGGATTTTTAGCTAATATATTTTTCTTTATGAAAAAATTAATTTTATTATTTAAGCACCAAAATATCGCGCCACAGAATTATTCACGCATGATGATTTTTTTTAACAAAGCAAAAAATTTAAAAGCGTTTAAATTAGATGATATCCGCTAATTACTGCGTATAAATTTACGCTAACTGTACTGTTCCTGTTCCTGTTATCACCACATAAAGTCGATTCGAAAAACATAAAGCATTTTTAACTTCACTGCTTACATCTAATAAATCTTTAAGTATGCTCATATTACCAAGGTGCTCATATTACCCTAATTTACCCTATATATATATATATATATATATATATATATATATATATATATATATATATATATATATATATATATATATATATATATATATATATATATATATATATATATATATATATATATATATATAAATTTTATATTGCGATCTAAGTGCATATATATATTTTAAGTCCATTTTTAAATGTTAACAATTTTTTTTTTAAAGAAAATGCAAGTAAAATTTTGTTTTGTGAATAAATATGAACAAATTTTTATCATTAGTTGGTTTGAATAAACAAATACCTTTTTTAGTTTAATAAAATCGAAGGCAAAAAAAAATAAATGTGTTTGAAAATAGAGGTAAAACAAAAAATGAGGATGTAACTACTATATTAAATTGTTTCTATATTATTTTCTTTACTTACAAATTTTTCATAACTCGTTGATACTTAATAAAAAATAGTTTAATATAAAAAAACAAGGTAAAATTTGTTCAAAATATATAATTAAATAAAACTGAAATAGCAGTGCAGACAAGATTTAAAAAGCATGATTTAAAAAAAGCAGACAAGATTTAAAAAGCATTTTTGAAAATATTTTTATATAATTGCTAAATAGATTTGTTAGAAATTGCAATGAAAACTAGAACTATCTAGTTAAGATAAAACAACACTTCATAATTCAATACTGCTAAAATAAATTCAAACAACATAAAAAATGTTAACTATCGTTGAACCATGTTTGTAATTGCTTTTAATTTATAAATAAAAAAATATATGACTCAATTTATTCAATAACATCAGCAAATGAAAATTAAAAAAGCGTTAATAAACATCTACTCACACACACACAGAGACACACACACACACACACACACACACACACACACACACACACACACACACACACACATACATACACCTCAACACACATAGACATATACACACAAAATGTTTACCTTTTCCTTTTAAATTCTTTATAGTTAAATAGCAAAAAATTTATTTTCAAATACATTAAATCTATATATGCAATAAGAAATGCATTCTACGTAAAACCCAATATTTTATACAACTTACGTAAGCAGTTACTTATACATTTATAATATATATAATTTAATTATATTAGTTATTGATTATACATGTATAATCAATAACTAATCAGACTAATATCAGTTAGTTATTCAAAAATAAGTTCATATTGTTTTTTTTGTATATTTATAAACTCAAGATGCAGATTTAAGCGTATAATAATGCTTTGAAAATAGCAAAAAATATAATTAATTTTTTTTATAAAAAATAATAATAACGGTATTTTAATAGGTAACTTTGTTTTTAATACCATTTTGTCACCTCTTTTAGCAAAGAATTTTGACAAACAATGAATTTATTAAAAGTGCATTTTTAAATGTTTAAACAAAGTAAATATACAAATAAATCTTCTTTTTGTTCAATAATAATACAAAAATTGTCTCAGCCATTCTTCCAATAATGCGTCATAGAATTTAATGTATTATGTATATTCATTTTAATATATTTGTGTCATAGAACTAAATGTTTTGTGGTTGAAAAAATCAATGCAAACCAACTTAAAGTTTAAATTATTTTATTTGTTATTTTATTTGTTATTTAAAGTAACAATTAAATTAAATTGATCACTTATTTTCTTTTATGTTTCATTTATAATTATGCAAATTAATATAAATTTATTAAATAATTAAACAACTTTTACTAGTTTTAATTTATCTGAGTACGTCGACGTTGGATTGGAATATGTTTAGTTGCTCATCAAACTGATACACAGTGCCTTATATAGATTAGAAAACGCTCAAAAATAAATCATCTTTCAAAAATAAATATATTTGACATGTTTCAGGGCGTTTCTAAGGGATTTTATTTTAGAGATTTAAATCTATTTTGACCAACATCTGACGTTTATGGGTGGTTATATCAATTTTTTGGTAATTTTAAGAGATGGGCTAATGTTGTAAAGATTTTATATTAATTCCGAATTTACAAACAAACGCAAATTTAATGACGTTACGAAGGATCCTCCTCATTTTGATTAAAAACGAATAAAATAATTTAACGGTAATAAAACTATGATTAAGACATTTATGGAAAATTGCAGCGTAAAAACTTTAGACTTGTAAAATAAATTTAGCGTTGCGTAATTTATGGATTTTATATTACTTAAAAATTAAAACCATTTTTCTTTTAGGAATAAGAGTTTTAATATTTTTAAATATTTTTTTGATTATAATTTAATAAGGTCAATCTTTTTTATGTTGAATTTTAATGAAACTACATTTTTAGTTATAAAAAATTGAGTTACGAAACCAAATATAAGTTTAAGCGATTAAAAGAAATTTAAAATACTAAAATTAGGATGATGGGCTGTAAAAAATGTACTTATAATATAGTTAATCATTATCTATTTATTTCAGTGATTTACATAATAATCAAAAGAGACTAGAAAATTACATCATAGGGTAATTAGCAATAGTTTCATCAACTATTATCTAAAGGATGAAAGAATTTTCTTATTTCTTGTGTTTCTTAAATTACCTAACTGTCTACTTTTCTCTATGCTATCTTTCTAACTCAAATAATTCCAACTTTCACTTTATTATCTTCAGTTATTCAAACTCACTTACTTTGTTTCTTGAAGGTCGGTAGAGATGATATATGTCCACGGCAAATCTTGGTATTCAGTTTCCGTATGACAATTAGCTAGAAGAAATAAAAAACCACAATATAAAATAATTCTTTATCAGCGGTTAATTTAGATATTTAAATAAGGTATTTGTACGTAATATGTGCTATTCTTGATTAACGTCGAATTACATATATAACAGGAGTTGCATCATTGTTTGCTTTATATTAGTTCAAGATATAAGAGGAATGGAATGCAAAACAAGGAATGCAAGTGTTTATATATGAAAACAATTATTTTTTATTAACTAGCTAATTAAAAAAAAATTTATCTGACTTAGACAAAAACTTGATTTTTTTCGAATAGGAAGTATTTGATCTTGATTAAAGTTGATTAAAAATAAGTCATAATTAACTTAGTCATGACACATTTTTAAACATTACTCAAGGAGGTGCGAATATGTTCAGTTTCTCTTGTTATTAAAGGTTTGATACAAAAAGTATGGTATCACCAAGCCACAGGAACAATTTCAAAAATAAAAAGATTAGACTTAATTGAATAACGAGTAACACGAGAATGAATTTAATAGATGGCACAAGAAACGTTAGCTCTTTAGAGCAGTGCCTATTATAGTATTTGCAGAAAAGAGAAAAAGGAGCAACATTAGGACGATATGATAATGGTTGGAGGTAGGCTGCAAGAGGAGGTACAACTATGTTTACAATGCGTTTGTGCATTTTATCTAAAAGAGAAAGAGCATCATTTGAAGATCCACTCCAGATATGGCAACAGTATTCCATACTTGGACGAATTTGACATTTATAGAGATAAAGAATAGAATCCAGAGTAAGAAAGTGTCAAGCTCGATAAAGAGATGCAACCCTACCAGATGGAATGGATTTGATATACGGTTTTCATGAAAGATCGGAAGTAAGAGTTAACCCTAGAAGATGAAAGGTAGATGACTCATCGAGTACAACTATATTCCTGAAAAAAACTGACTCTAAATTAAAAATTTCTTCCTTTATGGGTAGTGGCAGACATCAACCTCCACCCAACTCTGTAAAATCGCCTCTGCCTCGTGAAACCTTTTTTGTAGATAAGGATGTTTTTTAAGGACTTTTTTTGTAAGGAGGATGGCTAGGAGTGAGCCACTTTTTTTAAAATCGATTATATCAAGGAAACCAAAAGTGGAAAAAGTATAGGATAAGGAACCTAAGGCAGCCTAAATTATTAAGTTTCTAATAGTTATACATGAAATGTCAAAATATTTTCAAATTTTTAATAAATGAAAAGTAACGCAGGTGTTGAAAAATTGCTTGAAAAATAACGCAGGTGTTGCTACTGGTTCACTCCTGCCCATACATGGGTAGAAGTCAATCAAGCAAATGATAGGAATGAGCCATTATATTTAATTTCCAGAAAACTAAAATAAAATATTTTCTTTAACTAATTTATTGAAAATTAAGTAACAAATACTTTATAATTAAGCATAAAGTAATTAAATAATAATGTAACATAAATAACAATAAATTTAATACAATTTTAAACTCATTTAATAAAATAAACAAAATGTATAAACTACCAGAAAAATGATTTGTTTTCAGTAACAACTGGTTTTGACAACAAAACAAAAAACTGTCATGGCAAATGATCATTTCCAAATATTAGGATATAATAAAAGTATATATATATGTAATGTAAGTACTATATTAGCATATAGTATATTGGCAATAAAAATAATATTTAGCAAATACTGATATATTCAAACACAACCTCAAATTTGTAATGGTAATCCTACTTTTACTTGTTCCAGAAAAAATTGGCTGAGGTAGCAATATTTTGGAGGTTATTGCGATTTCTATAATACTTTTTCCTTTTTGCATTAAATGTAATGCATCTTTCATATCTTTACTGGAAGTTTTTGCTTTCGAAGTTGTTCTTTTATAGACTCGAGGCATTATAAGATATGGTAAAAATAAATGTATGGTTGCACACAAGTTTTTTAATGATATACTAAGATATAAAAGTCAAACGTAAATATATTTTTATGCTGAAGTCAAAATTTTTTTAACGTGAGGTAGTGAGCCGTGGTTCACTCCTACCCGTGAAGGAATGGCTTTTTTTTCCTCCCCAAGCTGTACAGCTGGATTAAACCATTAAATGTGCAATACGTACGTGGTTAATGCAAGTACTTTGTTCTAAAAGTTACTTTTTTTATTAGTAAATTTTGAACTACTATCTAATGTCTCGAAACAACCGGTATGCTCGTTAAAGAAGTTACAAAAAATAAAAAAATTTACTTTTGCACAGAAAAGAGTGGATGACAACGTAAACGCAGACACCCACATTAAGACGCGGTAATTAAATTGGATTGTGTTAACAACAAGTTGTATGTTACTACCTGGTGAAAAATTTGAGTCTTTTTCATTTCCCATTTGAGCTGTAGGATCAACGATTCACTCCTACTTTTGGCTCACTCCTACCCATCATCCCTTAAATTTTTTAAGATTTAACTTTATTTATTTATTTTTTTTTGAAATTTTTTAATAAAAAAGTTAGTTCCTACGTTTAAAACTATTTATTTTGAGGGTATTTGCATTTTAAAAGTGTTAAGGGTTCAAATGGTTTTAAAATTTAATTTAAAAACGCATTAAAAAATCCGCGAAATTTTACACTAATTTAAAAAATTAATTTATTACTCTAAAAAGTAATTTAAACGAACAAAAATTCAATTTTTTTAAAGAAAACTTTGATTAAATGACTCTAATGTTTTCAAAAAATAATTTTTATTCTGAAAAAAAAAAATTTATCGTAGATTAATTTTTAGCAACTCTTTGAGAATTCTGCAATCTAAAAAAACTAACGCCAATAAAACGGATAACTTTGAAATAATTTAAGGTTTTCCGTTATATTGGCGTTTTATTTTTTTATTTGCGTCATAGTCTCTGTACATTAGATCGATTTCTTTCGAAAGAAGAATTCTATCCGTTATATTTATCCTTTATATTTATCCGTAGTATTACCGGTCATGTTATTTCGCTTTTTGTATTTTAAATGTTGAAGACTTAAAATATTAATTCTAAAATTCTAGAGTCTTAAATTTTCGATAATTCATGATTCCAGCAAATACTATATTTATAGAATGACGCAATAAAAATAGCTTACAAAAATCGAAGCAAAGTAGTTGTTGCTTAATCTGATTTGTTAGCATTTGTTTAAGAAAGGGGTCTTGCGATAGATTATTACATCCACCTGAATTATTACATCCCCCATTGAAAACTCAAAACGAGATTGCGCTTTTAGGTTATAGCTGTTAGAGGTGTACCTGAAACGTCCGTATTGCCTTGAACATAAACATAAACAACGAGAAAGACGCTTTGAGGACAAGAATTCGAGAACTAAGGTTTGCTTGGTCTCTTGTGATACTCCAAATTCATATTTTTTGATTGGTAATATAAGAAAGGTTATATAAGAAAGATTGATAATAATAGAAATTATACAACTGTAAACTAACTAGTTTAGTAGTATATTTACAAAAAAATATTGACTTATTACCTTAGACTTAATCTAAGTAATTCAAGTTCGTACCGTCTCAATATGAGACGGTACGAACATGTTGTGATGATTTTATTTATTACAAATATAATTAGTCATACATCTACAATTACTTTTATATCTGCCTGAATTATCACCTCGCTCCTAAATCACTAAACTTGCGCCTAAATTATCATATCACCCCTAATAAATCAATCAATGTAAGATAGTGGTAATTGTAATGCGTGATTATGATAAAAATTATGAATCTGTAAATTAATTAGTTATTTGTTTACTTGAAATACTTTACAAATATTCTTTTTATCTGTCTGAATTATCACCTCTTCCCTGGTAAATCACTAGACTTGTGCCTAAAATATTCCCTCCCTTTAGTAAATCAATTAGTATAAGATGGTGTGATAATATTATTTAGTGATAGTGATAGAAATTATACAACAATAAATAATTAGTCATACATTTACATGAAAATACTCTACAAATACTTTTGTATTTGTCTAACACATCACCTCCCCACTATTAAATCACTAAACTTGCACCTAAATTATTACCCCCTTCCCTTATACATCAATTATAATAAAATGGTACAATAATGGTATTTTGTGATAATGATGGAGATTAAAGAACTGTAAATTAATTAGTCATATATTTACTTAAAAATAGTTTAAAATTCTTCAAATCTGTCTGAATTATCACCCTTGTAAATCATTGAAATTGTGTCTGAATAGTTACCTCCTAATAAATTAATCAACATAAGTTGATTAATTTACTTATCTTGTGACAGTGTGATGTTTTCTGGATTGTTGTTGTCAAATCAAAGAAATAGTTGAAGATTACTGGCGGAAGGTATGTTTGTTATTAATTTAAAAAATTCTGTATAGAAAGTTTCTTCTTATTTATCATATGTAATTTTTTTCTGTTTATTACTAAATTTCATGATAAATTGAATTATTCTTTAAATTTAATTGAAGTCCTTAATTTTGCCCTCATTTTTAACTAGTGGTTACACTGGCTGAGCTAAATTTGTATTCTGTTTTAACCATGCTAAACATGAAATAACAATCATGATTTATACCTTCAGGGAAAGTCATTAATTATTTTACATATAAATTATTTTATTAGCTGTTAAATATTTTTAAAGTTTTCTTTTTACATTTAAGTTTTAATAATCTACTACCTAATTTTCGTTAAAAATTATAAAGAAATTTTTTTTTAAATTATTATTTTAAATAGTTATAAATATTAATGCTAAATGTTTACAATTATTTAAGAAATCTTATTTTTAACATCTATTTCAATTTTTTTTTAATTACTTTTTTGTTCCAAATATTTTAACTTGGCAAAAAAAAATTACAAATTAAGTTGGTTGATAAAACTGATATTCCCCTTAATTATGTTCTTAATTTATTAGAGCTTGATATTACTGATAAAAGTATTTATCTAAAGATAAAAGATATTCATTTAGTTTTTCAATTAAAGAAAAACTTCAGAATTGATTACGTCAAGATAAAGTAGTTGTAAAAAAGTTTAAAAAGG